ATCCATCAAGGAGTGGAGCTTCGTAGTTTACCAAAGTCGTACTAAAACATTCTGACAGATTTTTTTTTGCGCCGTTTACCACAGAAAATCAGTTCAAGGTCAATAAACACAACCAGAATTAATACATAAGGTGCACCAGATTATAAGACGCACTGTCGATTTTTGAGAAAATGAAAGGGTTTTAAGTGCGCCTTATATAAAAACACATGTTGGACAAGTGACTTTAAAACTTTAATGTGTTATTTATGACTTCTTACTGTCATCAAAGTCATTTGTTACATTACAATATGACTGTGTTTAAAATGTAAAATATTACAAGACTATTGCAGAACTTTAAGTTACTCTGAACAAAATAACTGCTGAATTTCTGCACCGTATATGAACTAAACCAGGTCTAAACCAGGTCTAAACCCAGACTAAACCAGGACTAAACCAGGACTAAACTAGGTCTAAACCAGGACTAAACCAGGACTAAACTAGGTCTAAACCAGGTCTAAACCCAGACTAAACCAGGACTAAACTAGGTCTAAACTATGTCTAAACTAGGTCTAAACCAGGTCTAAACCCAGACTAAACCAGGACTAAACTATGTCTAAACCAGGTCTAAACCCAGACTAAACCAGGACTAAACTATGTCTAAACCAGGTCTAAACCAGGTCTAAACCCAGACTAAACCAGGACTAAACCAGGACAAAACTAGGTCTAAACCAGGACTAAACCAGAGCTGAACCACGACTGAACCAGGATTGACCCAGGTCTAAACCAGGTCTAAACAAGGACTGAACAAGGATTAAACCAGGACTAAACCAGGTCTAAACCAGGACTGATCTTGGACTAGAATTGGGAATCTAGGACCGCCCCTGAGAGAACCCCAAGCCCGTGGAGCAGAGCGTCTGCGTGGCGCGACCGGGCGTCAGCTGCGTTTAGCCCCGTGGAGTGTGGAGTTCTGCGTCGGTCTTTTCGCTCGCGGTCACCTGACGGTCTACGTGGGCGCGTCTCATGCATTTCACCGCTGCTGATATCGCGGTGATTTCCATGAATTTGTATGAAGAAAAACCCACCAGTTCAATCTAGGCTAAAAAAAGCTTTGTGACGCACTTTACTGACATTTGTACTGAGTGAAATATTTAAATTTTTTCCCCTGTAAAGCCACATTACTGCGTTACAGCAAAAAAGCAACACAGTAATTTGTTACTTTTATAACACGTTACTCCCAACACTGGTAAGTATCTTGTCCACTCAAACTGATTCTACAATTAAAATTCAAAATCAATTTCATGATGTGGATATTAGCGCAGACAGATTTGGGCAGTTTGAATGCGAGACCTATGAAACCATAACATTAGTTTTGTTCAGTGTGTAAAGCATCGTCGTTGTTCGTCTTTAAATTTGAGTCTTTCTTCTCTTGATAGTCGTGGATAAATTCTTCTTGTTGGTTGAAGATTTGGTGATGGGGTCAGATTTACGAAGCTGCTGGAGAATACGACACACATTTACAGAAACATTTTGACACCGAAAAGCTTTAACCTGTTACCATCCACCTCATTTTGGCGTGTGCACAATAGCACTACACCCAAATGCCATAGCTTATTAAAAGAAAACCTTAGAACCCACATGCTTGTGTGAGGCACCATTTTAAAGCTCATGTAGATATGTACATGAAGACTGTGAGTGCTGCCTAACCTACACTACAGTCAATTAAAAATTGTATTTTTTTAAATTTTTTTTTGCTTCGAAATTTTTTTTTTATAAAATAAAGGCCTTAGCTTGGTCATACTTCATGCTAGGCATTTGTGACTCACTACACTCATTGTTCAAGTTGTTGGCAACAACTGTGTAGAATTTCAGATCTCTAGGACAAAGGGTTTTGATGCTGTGAGCCTTTGTGTAAACAAAATGACAATTTGGTACAAGATTGCCAAATTTGTGCCAAAATAATAATATAATAATAATAATAATTGTTATTATAATACTAATTCTTCTGAGCTTTTGGCATGTCTTCTCAAGAAAAAAACTTAAAAGTAGACAAAATTGTCTTCCAAGTGTCAGATCTGCCCAACTATGGCCCCTCCCCCACTGCTCTCTGTGTCTCTCTGTTGCGCGTATAAACACAGCGTCCATTTCAAAGAGTAACTGCATGTCCCACCCACCGTTTGAAAGCTCTGGTGATAGGCTAAAACAATATGTCAATCACTTTCTGGAAGATCCAATGACTGAAGAGATTTCCTGTAAACAAACTGATGACGCGTGCGTAAAGCCAGGAAGTACGTGGGTGTGTTAGCTTCTTCAGCGGCTTGTCCCACCTAAACCCCGGCACCGACAACAGCGGGGAGGGTCTCATTTTGAAGCTAAGAGTGTGAGGAAAACAAGCGCACCCAAGAGCGCCAAGAGAAACGGAACTCAGAGAGGGAGAAGAGGCGGAGGAGGGACATAATATTTTCATTCACGGATTCATCCACTCATACGGACGACTGGATTATTCCCCCACATGGAATTATTTTATGGAAAAATCAACTTGATATTCTTTTTCTGTGGATTATTACGGACTTATTGAGTACAACTTTTCATGGATTGAACGCGTTTTGGACCAACAGAACCGGCTCAAAGGTAAGAAACGCGTATCTTATTCTTTGTTTATGATGTGAATTTTTAAGTTATAGCGTTTTGGGCTCGTTGTACAGCATAAAATGAATGATATGGTTGTTTTATTGATAAATTAAGCTTTCAAACGATGTATGGCCAGTAGTGACAACAATAATGAAGGTGAATATACAGAGTGAACATTTTTTATTGGAAAATCGCCCGCCGGCGGGCGGGTGGATGGTAAGTGGTTTTAAACGGAAGTTCCACAAACCTAAAACGAGGCACTTCCGGTCATTGTGAAAAAGGTTTATTGTCTAGAATTGTGATGGACCCTGCGATTCCCGGCCCCAGTGTAGAAATAAAGACTTTAGACTGTAGCACCCACTGGTCCCAGGTCTTAGATACTTTATATAACTACACAGTACACGCTCCAGTCAGTCGATTAAACGTGTGTGTAGTACTCACTGGTGTGGACTTTGAGGTAGTAGGGGTTCTTCTGCTGGATGGTGAAGATGAAGCGGGCGTTGCAGCTGTAGTCCGTCTGCGCGTCTCTGCTCATCACGTGAGAGAAGTACAGGTCTCCGTTCAGCCCCATGGACACGCGCTGGTCCTGCTCGATCGGCGCCATCGCTGTGGACGGGTCGGAACAAGACAACGCTCAAGTCACACACTGGTTATTTAAACGGACAGAGACTCGATCAAACCAAACAGTCGTCACTTTACACTGAAAAAAAAAACACCGAAAAAGGTTCTATATGACACAAAACTTACTCCTGTGAGGTTTACGTCGTGTTCTAATGTTGTTCCCTCCTCAAAAACAGACCTGGACTTGTGTTTTGTTTCTTTATTATTAGTCTTTCTACATCTAAAATGTTCTGTTCCACCTTGTGATGTCGTAAAGTGTTGAAGTGTTTTCAAGTGAACACCTCCTTTTGGCTTTTAATTCAGTAGAGACTGGCGATTCCAGAGCTGAAATCATCCAGATGAATCGAGTGAAGGTGTGTGGAGTTTAAAAACACAGTGGAGCACTTCTTGTATCACCAATAGGGATGGGCATTCGATAGAATTTTCTTAATCGACTGCCGGGAGAATTAACGGTCAATTTTTTGATTAATCATTAACGTTTTTATATTAAAATTGTCAACTTTACAACATATAAACCATAAACATTCTAGACCAGGGGTGCTCAATACGTTGATCGCGATCTACCAGTCGATCACCAAGGTCATGAGGGTAGATCTCCGTGTCTCGTCTCGATCGCGTTTGGACTCGGTCTTGTCTCTCACTCGAGGTGTGACACTCAACAAGTGTGATCATATTTCATTCCGGCCGCTGCTGTTGGTAATAAACTTGTAGCGGGTGCAGGAGCGTGTGGGGCGTCTCAGTTCAGCCTGTGCGCTCATTTGAAACCCGCGGAGACTCTACGGCGCATAACAAACACACACGCTCCCTATGCACGGCTCGTCTGCGACAGCGTGTGCCCTCGTGTACCAGCGTGCATCACAGGGCAGGTTCAACTTCCTAAACATCCTACCTGTCCACCTGCCTCACGTCAGCACGCCGCCCCTCGCCTTTTCACGCTCTCGCTCCTTCCTGCGTACAGCCAACACAAGCCCCTCCCACAGTGCGGCTGATTAGAAGAGCAAGACCAAACGTGAAGCAAAAACCAGTCTAAATTTGTGTTCCAGTGTTGGCACAAAGCAGGTCTACAGCATAGAGCGGATCTACAGAACAGACCTACTGCCACATTTGGCTGAAGTTTGTGTAACAAAAGTGACAAATGCATCTGTGTTTGTCACGATGTGCGTTTGGTTTGGTAAACGTGCAGAGGCTGGTAAATATCACTGCAAAACCAGAAAAGAATGAAACTCCAGTTTGGAACTTTAAAAAACAGGTTTAAAAAATCTTCCTTCACTTTTTCCACAGTTTTGTGTAAAGTGCCAGAGGAAGTTCTCTTAAAGAAGAGGTTCTCAAACTGTGGGGGAGGGTCCAAAAAAGGGGCACAGAGTGTTTCAGTGCAGTTTGTTTGACTTTGTATTAGGTCGATCATTTTGACTTGGTCATTTTGTAAGTAGCTCACATGATGAAAAAGTGTGAGCACCTCTGGTCTAGAGCCACATCAGCCCGTTTTAAATTATCATGTGTTTACATTTTACAGAAACAAAACTTTCATTTGTATAAACTGTAAGTGCTGAAAAAAACAGCTCTTTCCTTGTGTCGCTGATGCGGTTCAGCTTCTGTCGGACTAAAAGACACGACTCAGCGAGTGTTTTTCTGTGACAGAGGGGTGTTGATGGTGATGGTGATTTGATTTGATATAATCTCGGGTTAACAGGCAGGTGCGGTCCTGTCCTGCGCGGGTGCGGGTCTCCAAAAATGGACCCGTGCAGGACTCTGTGCTGTAGGGCTCCTTTACA